TCGTATTTCTGATATGCACCGGTCTTAGTGGAATCAAATGTGCCAAGTCTCTTGAACACTTCCCGTGAAAGTATCTATAGAAGAGAGACAAATCTGCAACCTTTCTTCGATTTTCCTGGCTATCAAGGTTGCAAAGATGTTCGCCTCTCCAATCTGGCGAATGACTATTTTTTGGATGGAATACGAATCCAGTAGCTTCAGGGTATGCCATACATAAAAACAATACTCCAAAGAAGGTCTGATCTGAGCTTTATAGAGGATCCGAAGTTATTGAGGTGTACACTTTTCTGGTTCGGAACAGTGTTCTAAGCTTTTGATAAACAGCCTTAGCAATTCCAGCGACATGATTGTGCTAAGACATATTAGTGTCCATTTTAACCTCCAATGGACTCATTGACGTAGAATTGTCTGACCTGATATCATTATATCTGGTTCGCAAACATTTATAATTTTGGAGAAAACCGTTGCCTGGATATTTATGACATTGAATTGAACCTGGTTATTTTCACCCCAATTTGAAATTACCTCCAGGTTCTCATTAAGATATGCAACCTCCAGCTGCTGTTGGAGATGTGCATTCACAACCAATCTCCTGGTATCCAAATAGAATGACGAGACAAGTGTCCTCTCGTCAGCAAAGCAATATATTGGATTCATGTTTTCTTCCAATAAGTCGTTAATATGCAATAAAAAGAGATCTGGAGACAATATGGATCCCTGGGGAACACCGGCGTTGATGGTGAAAGCTTTTGACAGATATTCTTCGACGACCACTTGTAGGGAACATTATTCTAGGAAGCTGAAGAGCCATACGCAAAGATGATTCGACAAGCCATAGCATCGAAGTTAGACCAGCAAACCCTTAAGCCACACACGGTCAAAGGCCTCAGAAATATCAAGCGCAACAGCTCTTGACTCTTCATGATTCTCGATTGCGTTATTCCAAATATGGGTGACACACCATAGAAGGTCACCTGTTGACCTTTGTTTCGGAAAGCCATATTGATGATTGCTTAAGATGTTGAAGCCTTTCAAATATTTGAGGATATGGTGGCTTACAGCTTTCTCCATGATTTTTCATATCACTGATAGCAAATTAACAGGTATATAGGTATTTGAAAGAGTTTTCTTGCCTTTATTGGGAATAGGCTTAACGCGAGCAGTTTTGGGCATGAGGCATATGGCAGAGAAATTCTTTTCAGAATGGCTGAATTTTGAGAAAATAAACCGTCACATGAGCATCGCTCTGGAATTGTTCGATGACGTCAATGGTGATTTAGATTCGCTTGAACGGGTTACAATTGAGGACGAATTATGGTTAACACAGCTAATGCCCCGCAGAAAGCTGGAGGGAAACCAATACCCCTGTGCAACGTCTTCCATTTGGAAGATTCGTCGCAAATGGAAGAAATTGCACAGGTACCTGATGGTTTTATTTCTGCTCGGAGGTTAGTTGTTGTTTTTCCGTTGAGTATCTGCCATAGGTACCTACAAAGTCGTAGTTCCAAATGATATGCAAGGGATAAGGTCGTTTTACCTGAACTTTGGCATGTTATGCACTTCTCCGGTATATCATTATTATTCTTACTCTCACCCCGAAGTATGTATTTGTGGAGTTGTTTCCGGACTTTGTCTGCAGGTGGCGCAGTGGGCATCCTACAGAATCAACTGCAGATAGAGCTTATAACTAGTTAGAATTGATTTTATTCGTTCGGGATACTCAGATGGCTACACCGCCTGAAATGACCTGCCCGGAACTGAAGAGGAGCAAGTACTCCAAAACCGGTCTATCGGTGGCCGTCCTGACCGAATGAAATCAATTCTTGCTCTTCATGTATAGGAAATTACTTGCGGCGGGTCTTCCGAATGGAAGATGTTGCATTGGTGTTTGATCGTTTCATATTTTCTCATTTATTTTCCTATGTTGTGAGTGAGGTGAGAGTCATTCTAGAATAGTGCAACTTAACGAGTAGAGTTTGCTTTGGATATTTTTTATGTTGATGCTGTCATACGCAATGCAAATGAAAAAAAATCATTAATGAGAGAGTACAAATTGAAAGTTCTAACCAATTCGAAGTTATAATTACCGTTTCGAATCGATTTTCCGAATTTTGGGGACGATAATAGAACTGTTTTAAATGAACTGAAACAAATTTTGATAATCGCGCTCGGTTGAACTATGCAGAACTCAGATTCAATACTGTTGCAACTCAGTACTCGCTTGGCTTATTAACGAGAGGATTTTATTCGCTGTTTCACCCATTCATCATTCATCAAAATAATGAAGGAACTCATTCAAAAACTTAATTCAATATTCATTGTCACGAAATAGAGAAAATACTTCAGAAATAAACTTGCACTATAATGTTATTCAAAAATACAATAAATCAAAAAGCTACATTATACTGTCATTGCTGGAACCTTTTCTGAAGATCAGTAGATACTGAATGAATTCCTCAATACTATCTGTTCCTGATCTTGACCTACGTCAATATTTATGAAGACTTATACGCTTTGATCGTATAACGCTTTGATCCGGTAACTGTACTAAGATAAAATGCACTGTATGGAATCTGTGCAAAGTTTTATATTTCTATATCCTGTGATCGTATCAATTTTGATGTATATGAACTTGGAATATTAAAAGATGGAATGGGGAATGTTCTTCAATTTGGGTTATTACAGCAGATGCAAGTTTGAACAAAATAAAGTTGAGTTTGATTCATGAGTTTTTCAAATTCACTTCGAAAAGTATTCAAATTGATGTTTCAAATGTTGGGTTTTTATTTCTGAAGGGATTTGTTTCTAATTCACATATTGGCAACAGCGCCTATATCAAGTTGAAATAATTCATACGTACCTAGATATTCTACTTTAAAAAAGGCGAATTATCTTTATAAATCAACAATTAAGGCAAAATATGAATTATAGTTCAATACCACCTCCACAAGCCACATAAACAATAGTTGTTTTGTTATTTATTTATATAGAGGAAGATAGGTTAGGTGCACAAAATGTGATATGTCATAGAATGTCTCGGAACTCGGAACATGAGTAAACAGAACAGCACGCCTCTAAAATATGTCATCTTTGTTTTCCTCATACAGGTAACAGATTCATTGTCCTTTATTAGATATAACCGATGTTGCCAAATGGTGAAATAGAAACGAATTCCTTTAACTGTTGAATGCATTATTTCATTCCTCTTTTTTGAGTATTTATATAATTTTTTAAAGAAAAAGATTGAAATGATGAGTTTAAAATGCGTTGTTTTAGAGCTCTTTTATGGAAACTACTTGATTTTCGTCAGAAGGAACATTCCCCATTCTGAATACTGAGTGTTTTTTGTTTTAGAATATTGAAGTTGAGGTTGAAACATCTTTCAATTCATGTATTCGATTAAATCATTTTGAATTGTTTCATGATTATTTTCCACATTTGAGAATACCAATCTATGGTTGTTTGAAAAGTTTTGTCAGTTTTTATGAATCTGCTGTGAAATGTGATGTCTTAGTGAATACTCATTCAATTTTATTGAAAAGTATTGAATAATGCACTTTTGCCAACGTAATACAAGTCGATTGATTTCGTCAGCATGAATATTGTGTGCCAGAGATTCGATGGAGTCGACGAAGACCGTTTTTTGCCTAGTTCTGATTGGGAAAAGTTCTACCGGTGAGAAAGCTATCAAAGTGCTCATGAAGATGGAAGTCGATTGGCGAGAGGTCTGAGAAGTATGGTGGATGACGCATAAACTTTGACGCACTATTCGTTGAATTATCGGATCGTGATTTGTGAAATCTGCGGATGGGCGTTGTCGTGGAGCAAGATTGGAACTCTTCTGTTGACCAGTGCTGGCTGCTGCTGACGTAATTTTCAGCACATTTCATCGATTTTCTCACAATAGCACTGTGCTGCAATGGTTTGGTCCGGTGGCAGAAAACGTCAGTGTCCAACCACTGTCCTGAACATCTGCTGTTGCCATAGAGGATCGACTATTCATTACACGTGCTGATACGATCCCCAAAAAAATTGTTTTTGTTGCGCAAAAGCAAAAGTAAATACTTTCCATCAATTAATCGAATGGAAAAAGGCCCCTTCTGATTGGGATCATAGACAATTTTGTACTCCTTCAGCCACTAGCACTGACATAACTGTCCAAACAGATAAACAACACATCCATCACCCAAAAATCGATTTCCCGAAATGAATTTTTCTTTAAGAACACCCTTCTTGTATTCGTCGTTCTAATAATCCACTAATTAAATTACCGTTTTCGAAAAAAAACACGCTCGACATTCGACCTCATGCAATATTCGCTCGTATTTCACTTCATCCCCCTCCACGGGGCGAGTCCACATAAAAAATGGAAGAGCTCAGTTAGACAAATTGACGATATTATTTTGTGCACTTACGCGTAGCCGAAAATATCTTATTGAATAATAAAAATTAATTGCTACACCCTCAACGAGCATTTTAGGCGTTATACACTGGAAAGCTCTCACTTTTCATAAAATATTCAGCTGCTGGGAAAAATTTCTTGTTGGAACTCGTTAATTCTAATTTGATGGAAGACGGGGCCGTGATAAATCGTATCATAACACTATTCTGACTCCCTTTCAGCAGGATTCAGCAGGACGAACGTGCCGACTTTTAGCGGTCGAGAGACCAGGAAGTTTGGCTAGCGCAGAGTGCTTGACGTAAGAGGATTTCAGAAGTTACAGCGTCGTTGATGTTAGCTTTTTTTACAGTTTTTTGAGGTCGATGATAAAATAATAATGAAAAGATGGCCGTTAGTCTTTATAGTGTCATACTGCCTCAAAACTTCACAAAAGCTTCAAAAAGCTTTGAAATTGCAAAATTGGTTGAAATTTTGGTTGACTATATTTGTCGACTATCCGATTCATTGTAAATCTCTAAATAGAGGCCGAACATAGATTAGAATAGAACAGAATATAATTGAATAGAATAAAGAATACGATAGGATAGAATAGGATGGGATGGGATGTGAAAGAAAGAAGGGAAGGGAACAAAGAAAAGAGAAGGGGATGAAAGAAAAGAGAAGAGAATGGAAGGGAAAGGAAGGGATGGAAAGGGCAGGGAAGGGAAGTAAAGAGAAGGGTAAGTAAGGGAAAGGAAGGAAAGAGAAGGAATGGAATAGATATATGTGCATGATCCTGACTAGGAAGTTAGTATCATGCGCAGTTGATATAGAGCGTTATGGTTTATTGAGGATAATTTCGGACTGATGAATCCTCTGTTCGGGTTTCGACTGCGAAATGATACTGAACTGTTTTGAACCATCCCGAATTGTTCATGCTATCGAGGCTGAACTGTTGAGAACTGTTTCCGTTGGTCACGCGCATTCATGTGGAAATTTATTCGGGCTATTTGCTGGGATATTTTCTTATTTATTTGATTTGAATAATTGATGATTGAGGTTAGATAACATTTGAACTGACTATGAGGATACTCTACATAACAAAATGAACATGATCAATAGTATTTTCATATATATGATAGGTGTATGGTGGTCTCCTCAAAAGCGTTCTGGTTTAAACAAGTGTCCGAGATTATTTCGGACTGTTTGAGATTTTTTGCTTGAATGCATCATGTCTTGCGCTGTTTCCAGTTTCTGATGTTAAAACCAGAACAAACCTGATAAGTACTATTCTGATCATTCCCTCATTGATTTCAATTCAAGAGCCACCAGTAGACAGCAGTTTCAGCCTATTGGGCATCGTCAGTACCGGGCAGGCGGTCCTCGATTGAAGACAAAATGTGAATAACCAAGGAGAGTACTTAATAAAAGTAACAGATTCAACGCCAGGACCACAGTGAACAATGACTGCATGAAGAGGATAATAATAGTGGTCTGCTAGATTGAAGTGTTCATTTATTTCGAACCTTCGTGAGAGTTTGGTGCTTCCGAATAAACTATTTGTAGTACTTTTTTTGTATGTATCAGAGTAAAATATTATACGACGTATCCCATCTATGTAATGTAGCACAAACGGTGAATGAACTATAGCTATCCATCCATCTATCTATAAATAATATGACAAAATAAATACTAGACAAAATAGATATTGAATTTTCGAAAATATGCACAGATATACATAACAACAGATTAAGTTGAACATTCACAGGACCAGAAAATCCTTGTTAAAACCTTATGATGAGATAACATGGGAATTATTCAGGTATTCGGGTCACGACAACTTTGAATTCGAGTTTGTCTGGAATTTGCTTGATTTTCAGTGAAAGTTTATTATATAATATAATTGCGCAATAGATGGAGGTGAATATCTTATTTTGATATAATTTGAATATTAAATTATTACGGAACAACTGAACCATAGTGCTACCAAAACAAACTGAAAAATTAACCAGGCATTTGGAAATGATGGTACTGTTCTAGGTTGGTTTTCGAAATTCCTTTCCGGGGATTTTAGCCCCAAAAATGAGCCCCGTGAAATAAAAAATTAACGTTCCACAAGGTTCAGTCCATGGGCCGATATTATTCCAATTATATATAAATGGCTTACCCAGTATCAATAATACAGGGCCAGTTCAAAATATTTGCTGATGACACGACACTGATGTGGAAGGAGTCTAATTTTGAGTAACTTAAATCAAAACTGGAAGATGATTTGAAGAAAGTAAAACACTGGTGCTACACAAACCATCTCTGCTTCAATGCCAAAGACTTCCAACCTTCAAATACATTCATGAACTTCTTATATTTGAAACTACAACCATCGAAAAAAAACTCTGTACCAAATTTCTTGGCATTGAAATAGAGAGTTACCTAAAATTTCATATCCACATCCAAAGTTTCGAAAGGAAACTGGCATCGAGCTGCTTTGCAGTGAGAGTTGTGTCTGAGGAACTAGGTCTGCCAATGAGTAAGGTGACATATTTTTCTCTAATCGAATCACACCTGCGATATGGTATTGCATTTTTGGGGTTATTGCAGCAAGCAATTGTTCAATTTTGTTTTCGTCCTGCTGAAACGAGCAGTCAGATTCATGTCCAGAGCTGAATATACCGACCATTGTGAACCGTTATTTATAAAACACAGAACTTTGACTTGAACTTTCATTTTTATACTTGAAACTCTATGTTTGGAGCATAAGAACAAGTCCAAAGTCTCCGATACTGAGCACACTCGAACAAGCCATAATACTCGTCAAATAGCGAGAAAAAACTTACCTCTCCCCATCCCCCACTTGGAATTAACGAAAAAATCAATGAGACTAAAAAGATATGTAACAATTTGCTACTCCGTTTGAGAGAAATCATCATACACCATATTTTTCGAAAAAAAGTCAAAAAAATACTTTTGCTCAAGTCCTATTATACCCTTTCGGCCGAAGATTCTCACTTTCTTGTATTGTGATAAATTTTTGCCTTTGTCAACTTATTTACAAATTTAACTATACATATATCCATTTTAGATTATAATAAGCTATGTAAATAATTTTTTTACGATGATGCTCACTTTTTGTATTGTGGACATTTTTGTATTTGTCGACTTGTGGTGTATAGAATACTATTTGTTAAATTTAAATATGTACTGTCTTTAGATTATGGAAAGCTTCGTCAATAAGAATATTTTTCCTTGTACAATGAAGTATATTGATTGATTGGTTGAAGTGGTCGACCTGCAGTAATCCAGGATTTGAATTTGCTGACCCTGATACTGACGGACCCATCACAAACGGTGCGTCAATTACGGAAGAAGTGAGCGTCAGCTCAGCGGTTTTTGAGGATTTGAAATGTATTGGGGAGGTCAAGAAGCTCGAAAAGTGAGCTCCCCACGATTTGAACGTAAGTAGGAATTGTCACGTTCGAAAGACTGTTTCTCTTTGCTTCTGCACAACCAAAACGATCCTTTTTTGAATCAAATCAGCACGTATGATGAAAAATGGGTCCTTCACGACACTTGACTCGTTCCGGGTAGTGGTTGGACACTGATAAGCCACCAAAAGAGAAAACCCATCAAAGAAATACCATGGTTACTGTATGGTGGTCAGCGGTTGGTGTGATTCACTATAACTTTCTGCAATCGAGCCAAACCCTCACAACAGTAAATCAACGAAATGTACCGGACATTGCGTCAGCGGCAGCCGGTCCGATCCTGTTCCATAACAACGTCCGTCCGCACGTTTTCAAGATAACCGTCCGAATACCGTCTTTTCAAGTACTTCAATAACTTTCTCACTAGTAGCCAATCAGGACCTGGCAAAACGGCCTTCGTTGACTTCATCGAATCTCGAGCACAAAATCTATATGCTGACGAAATTAATCAGCTTGTGTTACGTTGGCAAAGGTACACTGATTGAAACGGCAAAAATTTCGATCAAATTGGGTCAGTATTCACCGAGATATTTGAGTCCGAAGTAGATTCTAAAAAACGGACGAAACATTTTTACCATCCTATTACTTTGTATCAATGTTTCTGTTTCTGAAGATTAGTTGGTTAATCTCATCAACAAGGTAAAAGTATCATTGAGATTCCAGTAAATAGTTATGTTCTCTATCCGATATTATTACACAGCCATTCAGCTTTATCTACCATGAAAAGCGCATAAAAAAATAAAAGTGCAGTTATTTCGTATTCAACTCCATTTTATGATCATTCATCGAAGAGGCAAAGCGAGCTGTTAATAGGAACAATCAAAAATAGTAGTGAATCGTTTACACGCTTCCAAATGTCTATTTATCGTCTGAGTTTTATCATAGAATATTCATTTTATGTTTGAAGTATGGAGGACCGAGGAACATTTGCAAATGAATGACTTCATTATGGAGTGGGTGAATACCATAAAGATAAATATTTACAAAACACTAGAATTCCATAGGCAACAAGAAACTAGAGAGGATGGATGATTTCAGAAAAAAATCAAACAAAAAAAAACTAATCGTGAGCATCAAACGACTTTTTATCTTTCGGAACTGTAGAGACATTTGGATATGAAAGTATACAGTGCATTTCTGTTGGAACCAGCCCCACTGTTGGGACTGTAAAAAAATCAAATCAATTTTTATAAAGTTTCAGGCGAACACATTATCTTGCAGAACGGACGTTCACAATTTTAACATACGAAAAAATTCTAGGGCTTTCAGCGCACAAAAAAATCGTTCTAGATATCTTTCTCATGAATTTTCAATTATTCCAATGTTTGTTTGAAGGTGATTGGCAATGTTTCATGATGAATTTCATTAGTTCAGACTTCCATTGTCTGATATTAAATAAAATGGTTTGAAATCCCTGCATCAATTAAAAGGAAGTTGTACCAGATTTTGAAAAAACACCAAATTCATTTTTCGGACAAGGAAAGATCATCGCTAACACCGCACCACAGTAAGCCCCCTCACTTGTATGGACTACCCAAAATCCATAAGGAGGACGTTCCGCTTAGACCGATCATCAGCTCCAGAGATTCGGATACACAAAACTTGTCTAGATTTTACTTCCCATTATACAACCATTACAAGGAAAAACACCGTCTTTTGTGAAGAATTCAAGGCATTTTGTCGAACTACTAGGGGCAATTGAAGTCGCACATGATGATCAACTAATCAGTTTCGACGTGCAAAGCCTTTATACCGATATTTCGGTCGAAGAAGCACTCCAAATCATGCAGAAGAAGCTATTGAAAGACGAGGATCTGGAAGAGAGAACGAATTTACCTATTGAAATAATTATGGAATTACTAGGATGTTGTGTATGAAACTGTTATTTCCAACTGAAGGACGAATTCTTTACACAAGATGAGGGACTGCCAATGGGATCGCCACTTTCACCAGTCATAGCCAACATATATATGGAGTGGTTTGAAACTCTGGCCATTGAAGAAGCCCACAAGAAACCTCGAGTCTGGTTGAGATATGTTGACGACACCTTCATAATATGGAACCATGGGAATACTGAACTAGACGCCTTTCTGAAACACATCAACAGCGTGAGACCTTCCATCACTTTCACAATGGAGAAGGAAATCCACAATGAATTGCCATTCTTAGACGTTTTGGTGAAGAGGACCGACACTAAGTGGGAAACATCTGTATACCGAAAACCC